TCATTTGATGTCCGACTTAATCACAAGTATTACAAGTATTTGACTGTCAAATTTTTGTTTGATTGTGCCGAGCACTATTTATTACTATATATTTTTTTTTAAATTTTTAAGTTTTGAATATAAAAATTTTCAATACAAAATTTTTATATTAGTATTTAGAGATAGAGTTAATATTTGAGAGAGGTTTTTAGAGACATAGAATATTTTTATTTAGAACATCTTGCATTTATTAATTAATTAACCAGTTTTTTTTTAGTTTTTACCGTATAACCGCGAAATAACGCGCAGGGGCGTAATTTCAATTTTCAGCCTAAATTAAGCTTAATTCAGGCCAAAATTCAAAATAACGCCCCTGTGCGTTATTTTGCAGTTATACGGTAAGATAATATATTAATTGTTGAAAAACACCAAAGTGTGTTTCAAAATTTTTATTTATATTAATTGGGTCTATAAATATCATTTTATTCTATTTATTTTATTTAAAATTTTTTTTCTTATTTATTTATTCATTTAATATATTTTTTATTTAAAAACATAAATTAACTTTATAGTTAATAGATTTGCTTTTATAAGAATATTGATTTTTCAAATCAAATTTTCTATATTGTTAACTGCTAAAGTGGTTGACAAGATTATCTTGCCAAATCTTTAATAGCTTACAAATATAATTTGTAAATAATAGCAAAGGTGATATTCTTTTTTTTTTTTGCTAAAGTTTCAAAATTTTTGTATATAATTTAAGATAAGAATATTATAAAATCCTTATTTTTAATAAAAATATATTTTTTAAAAATTGCTATTAATCATTAATCAATTAGTTCTAAATCTATATGCTAAGTAAAACATTATAGCATATTGTAAAATAAAACTTAAAATACTTGTTATATATTAATATAAGTTTGAGTTATTATTATATAATACTTTTCTTAAATAAAAGTATTCAATCATTAATTTATTATTAATCTGATAAAACCAAGTCTTCAAATTTTAGTTTTCAGATTTATAGCAACATAACATCTAACTCATCTTTCTATTATATTTGAATAATTTCTTTTTTTACAAATATGCTATAATATTAAAAATAATAGAACTTATAAAATATGATCAGGTTATATATTGGGTTTGATTATTTTATTTATAAATTATACTGTTTTACTTTTTGTTACCAATTTATAAAACTAGCACATTACTGAAAGCATTTTTAAGAATTTTATTTATTATTCAAATAGCCACTGACATACTATCTTTGATTTTTTTAAAATAAATTTTTGGTATTTATATTCTTATGTTTTAATACAGATTATTATATAATATAATCATAAAATACTATTATCTGAGTTAAGCTCAATTAAGCTAGAACTAATAATATATTTGTGGATAAAATACATGTTTATTATTGTATTTAGCTAAATATATAAACAATAAAATTATGAAAACAACAAAAATTGACAAAATATTTTTGTTTATTCTATAAGCATGCAAATTAAAATAAAATAACTCTAGTAAATTTACTAGAACTATTTTTTAGATAGTTTATTTTACTTTTTTTCATTTTTTAGTATTACTTTTTTTTTTAACAAAAAAATTTTATTAAAATCACTATCAAAGACTGGTCTAAACCCTCTTTTAATATTAGCTTCTCTATTCTAGAGTATGCCAATAACTTCCTCTTCTATATTGATATTACCAAATCTGATAAGATTCCAAATTTAGTTAATTACTCACCACAATGCATATGTAAATATGATGACCCTACCCAATTAATTCTCTTTAACCTTACTATACAGAAAAACAACATTGTAAATATTAGCACCAAACACCCCAAATCCACTCTAACTATGACTTTACAACTATTCAAATGCTTATGAAAGTAATATAAAACCTTATACAAAGGCAAAAAGTACTGCTAATCTGTCTAGAATTCTATACAACACTATCAAACAAATAAAATCTGACAATAAATCAAACAAAAGTAACATGAAAGATATCACATACTTTGCTACTTCTTATATATCAGTATGCACTTTGACAGACACAACTGAGCTCTCTATAGACACCATAAAGAATACAACCAAAAACACCAACACTCCTGTAGAAGCAAACACAACTACATCTACTCTGGTCACAATTAGTACAGTCACTACTAGCAATCTTACTGCTAGCCATATAGAAAAACTATTTTAGCCAGATCTAGCACTCCCACTAACAAACCCAACTATTATAATTAGTGCTAATACTAATTACAAAAGATCTAAAAACAACATATCTCCACTTATTATAGCCCCAAACAAGGCCTCTAAATCTGTATCTGGTAGCACTTTTAGATCTCTTTCCAATACCCAGCCCACCTTCCCCAAATCTACATATAGCCAAGTCATTTAAACCAGTTTTAATCCTCTTGCTACTAATGCCCCAAATGATATAGAATGGGCTACAATTGTCTACAACAAGATTACAGCCCCTACTATCACACTATTCAACACTGACTTGTGGACATATAACAGAATCACTATAGCTCTTGAGACTTCTATAGAAATACACAGCTTTATTAGCTACAGACTAACTACATTTCACACTATATTTAAACTTTCAGATGCAATTGCACTTAAATTCAATCACTGTGATACCAGATTCTTTACTATATTTATCCACAACCCCAAAACTACACCCATATACCAGAAAGAATATTCTAATCTCTTTGACAATATCCTAGCTATATACAAAAAAAAAAATAAAGTTACACTAACCAATATTTCAACCCGCAACACGATCTACATGATGCTTAGAAAGATGCTCATTTTACAATATCTTGCCAACTTCAACCTAAACCAAACACACTCTAGACTTATAATCAGAGCTATCATGTATAATAGAGGTTTTTACAAATTAAAGACTTAAGTGACAACACATACAAAGAAATCAAAACATATATTAACAAGGCAATTGAAGATAGGCTCCTCCCACTACCAGATTCTCCAAATTAGATATTTAAAGAAATCTATGAGGTCTTACCTTTTAAGCTTCTAATTACCCAAAAGTTATATACTAGAGCAGTAATAAATGCCCTGAGAAGGGTATTCAAGTTTTTTGAACTTCCAGAGATATACTTCGCCAAGCTTTTTCCATTACTCCATACTACAATGAGCTTATATCTAGTCTGTGTTAACTATTTCTTATTACTTACTCTAGTATCTTGCAGCATACAAGAGAAAACTAGCAGACTTCTATACTGTAATCCAGATCCCTAACACTACTTCAACCTACTACCTCTCAAGAAACCTCTTCCCACTACCTATCAGGAACTTAACTACAGAGTTTGCAAATTCTTTTTATTCAACTCAAACATCTCCACTATTCCACTTACTGATATCATTGCTTAGCTTAGAGAATATTACACTTTTAAATTACTTACTAATAACTACTTTGTTGCAAAGTCTCCTCTACCAAAGGACACTAGCAAAATCAAGACCAAAACAGTATTTACTAACTCTATAATAGAGAACACAATAGCCAGAGAATTCCTTAAACAAGTCTCCCTCTACTACAGAATCTAATTTCTACTTTTATCAGAAATCATGAAAGCAAACCTTACTAATAAATCTACCCTTCCCATAGCTAAAGAAATAACAGTGTACTTTAATATTATCTTACCAATTACGAATACACAACAACTCACAGATATAGCCAGACTCCTTCACAAGTATTATTACTTTACTTAACTCCCTGCCAGCTAGATTAAAATAGAAAACAGCCCTCCTGGAGACACTGATACCAACAACACCAACACAACTACCAAAACACTTTCTTCTATTTCTAACAACATTGAAAAAATTATTGAAACCCTTGCTAAATATGAGGTTATCATCTTACTCTCAATCCAACAACAAACAAAGATCACTTCAGCTATGAAGAAACTAAGGCAATTCTACACTATTAGGATGATACCTGATACCTTGCTCAAACTCCCACTTCTTCCTATCCTAACTAGAGCATATTCAACAATGCAGCAAGAGCATTACACCCTAACACACTAGCACTGTCCAATCTTTCACTAGTCTGGTCCCTATCCTAGACAATATTCCATCCTCCACACTACTCACAACAGCCCCAACAGAGAAAAATATCAAGATACTACCAATATAATGTTAACAAATACAAGCAATACTTTCTCATTAGACAAAATATCACTAATGGATACTAATAAACACTTTTATGACTAACTCTCCTAACTAACCACTAGTAATACACTTTACTCTCTTATACTTTATATTAGCATATACAATATACAAGCAAACACTAAAAAAGAAAATAGAAAAACTACTGTATATAGCACAATCTCGATATTATTAGTCTAACAGAGATTAAACTTTCTAAAAAAAAGGTCTATTATAAGTAGTATAATTTACCACATTACATTTATTATTAGTTATATACCAACAGCTCTCATGCCAGAATAGCTATTATGATCCACAACTACTTATCTCCCATATTCACAAAATTCTTACAGTTCCAGGTTATACTATAGCAATTGATCTTCTTTTTAAAAATGACTTCAAATTTTGCATCATTTTCTTTTATCTGCCAAGTAATAATGCACAACTTATACTGCTAACACAAAATACAATTTATTTAATAGCTATAGCAAGCTATAGCACAAAATATTCTTCTAATTACACTAAGAGATTTTAATATATCTACAGATAATATCTACTTACAATCAAACAAATACAAGCTTCTCCAATATCTAACATACAACAATATATATAACCTGGTCTCATATTCCCATAATAGTCAGAGAAGATATCACATATATTTATATATGAGTGTAAGTCTATAATAAAAATTATAATAAAAACATATAAATTTACTATAAACTTTAAGCTAAAGAT